TAAATGTTAGAATTAAAGAACATAAAGATTATTTAAGAAAGGGAGATTTTCACAAATCTAAGATTTGTCAGCATTCATGGAACACAGGGCACAGAATAAATTTTAACAACGCCAAAATTATAATGAAAGAAGCGATAGCCTCTAAAAGAAAAATAAACGAGGCTTTTTTAATACAATATACAATAAAAATAAATGTATTACTAATAAAAATTAATGTATTACTCATGCATCTGTAGATGTTAGTACTGTATGGCAATCGCTTCTTTGATTTTAAAGATCATAACATAAATAAACATAACATACGTCAAAATTAAAAATAATCATACAGAAAGTTTGAGGCTTTTTACTTTTTAAGTTATTAAGGAATTATTGTCATCAGGTAGTAATTGTTAATTTTGAAGTTTAACTTGATATAATGTCATTTTAACAGAACGTCAAAGGTTTTTGTAGACCTATTTGTTGCTATTTGTTTCATTTATGTATGAGACGTATCTTGGACGTATCTGTTTTAAAAAATTAAAGTGTTCTCGAATAGTTGCTTAAATATTTTGAATAGTTTTTCTTTATTCTTTGTGTTTTTTTTTGCTTCCGACGCACAGTGGGCAAAAATCCAGAAGTATGTTGCAAAAATTCTTTTTTTGTACGATTTCATTCAAATTAGGTAAAAACATTCTATGCTAGTAGCCCGTGAACCCAGTTAGTTTTGGCTGACTTGAGGGTGGCTGGGGGTGGTGGGGGGGATTCATAAAATGGAAAAAATCATCTATTGACTAATACAGCTACCAAAAGGCGGTAAGAATATTTTATATTTCACTAAATTTTACGATTTTTGGCAGAGCCAAGATGAAACAGACAAATATTGAGCAATTATTACTCCTCCGGCATATACAGGGTTTGTTTTATATATTGACAACCTCTGTATCTTTTTTATTCGACGTTTTCGAAAAAAGTGTCTTGAATAAAAGTTTAATGGTTTCGAATACATTTTTCAAAACAGTCTTCTTTGCATATACAGGGTGCCTTATAAATCCTGTGCGTGGCCCAACTTTCTTATTTCAAATTAGTACCCAATTTCTTATTTGATTTTTATTTTCTCCTAAAAATCCTAACTACTTTTTATGTAGCATAGCCTATACCCTTGTTTATATATTCTTCTATACCTAATTTGAAATAAGATAGTTGAACCATGCCCAGACTTTTTGAAGCACTTTGTATATGCAAAATAGACTTTTTTGGCAAATTTATTCAAAACCACTTTCATTTGAGACAGTTTTCGGAAACGTCAAATAAAAAATATAAAGGGGGTGTCAATGTATAAAAGACAACCCTGAGTATACTAATCCAATCTATTCAAGATTGTTTATCATTTCAATAAGTTGGGTCTCTAATAATACCAGACAATATGTGAACAATATTTTATTATTATATTTTAAATAAGTAACCATATTCTGAGAATTAAACAATGATGATTTAGAAAATAACAGAACTTATACCTATTAAAAATATCTAAATTTTATTTTACCATTTACTATTTACTGATATTTTGTTTTATAACAGCTGGATGCAATGGTCACGAAGTGCACACATTTTTAAATCTGAAAGAAAAATCCATTTCATTTAATTTAAAAAATTTGGTACTGTCAAAATTTGTCAATTTGTCAAAAAATGTCATTTGACATTTATGACATACCTCTTCGGAAATCTTGAGAAAAAATACGTAACTTTATATTTCAAGTTCTTCTCTAGCTACTATAACAATTAATTTATGAGAAGTATCCACATAAAGGATCTTACTATACACATACGCATGGAGGCTTACGCTTCCAATAAATTTAATGTTGCGATTTTTTGCGATTTTTTTTGCGACTCAACTTTTCTAAGATAGAATATATGCCACTATCAAAAATACCTTAAATGATTATGTTCTACTTTGACCTTTACCTAGTTTTTATCCAAAAAATCAAAATAAAAGATACTTTTTTACTTACCTTGACATTAAATTTACCGCAACCGGGATTCTACGTAAAACACGTTATGACAATTTCACAATAATTATTGACAGCAAGCTAAGGTCGTCCGATTCAATTGTTATAATACTGTGTCACTTGAATGCAACGCCTACTATTTAAAAAATTGTAGAAAAAAGGCAGTTATTGGACACAAATTAACTGAAAATGTAGGTTTTGCGCAAAGTTCGTTTTATAGCCCCTCGAAAGAGACTCCGAATATATTTTTTTGTTAGTTTTATGTGGTTTTAGATTATATTTATCAATATAACTTATGTACAAATACAAATTTGTAATATTCCGCAGAAATAAATAAAACAACATAAATAAAACAAACTATTTTATTATTAATAACACTTACCAAATTTTATAGGTACCTTAAAGGTTGATTAATTAACTTTAATCTTAATTTTTTAAACCAGTACCTTTGGCATTATTTTTCTTGTGCAGTACTAAAATCTATTATTTACTTATCGTGTGATGTCGATATTTTACAGCTACTCCAGTTTTTAGTATGTGTTTAGTATGGTCCTTCTACCATATTCGAGATGCACTTATCTACGACGAGATGGTATACGAACTTTAATGATGGTAACTTTATTGGTGTATAAGACTTTTTGCCTGGGCAGCGAGTATTTAACCATAAACTGTGCTCTGGGTCTACAGTTACTTTTCACTCGATTTTTCCTCCATTTGACTTCAAAAGACACAAAACACACGTAATAACACGAATCAAAATGCATCATCTTCCAAAACGCAGGGTATTTGACAAAACTGACAAAAGTTGACACAAAATTATCAAGAACGGTAAACTAATTATTTATTAGGTTAACTCACGGGGATGTCACTTGTATGGGAAAACAGGCAACAGTCAAATTTAAACGTGCCAGGACCAACGACAAAGAAAGCAACATCTGCCAGGCATTGGCTTTCTTTGTCACTCACACTGTTTAAATCATGATACCGCGGCCATTTTGCCAACAAAGAAGTTGACCGGGCTGTCCTGGCAAGTGATTTAAAACAATTTTGCTTTTTTACAATATTAAATTACCATTTGGATGTATTTAATGCGATTATTCAGTTAACTGGTAAGTCAGAAATTACACACAAATACTTTATTCGTAAATACAACTAAGATGTAAACGTATTTTTGTATTTTTAGATTTCAACTTTTGCAAAGACCCGCCGATAGAACTTGCCTGGCAGCGTACCTATTTAACTAAACGTATTATTTCCTGATTATAATATCAAAACACGTAAGTACCTCTATAATTTATGATGAAAAATGATTTTGATTATGTTTTATATTATTTAAATACTTTCTAACCTCAAATAATAGTAAGATCCTTGTTTATATCGCACAGCCCGTTCAAAACTGTATTGTCTTCAAAAAATGTTTACAAAACAAACAATTATTACAAAAACAATGTCCTTTTAATCTGATTTATACCTCAGAAGGATGCCAGTAAAATTTTATTAAATCAACATTATATTATTTGGCCATTAATATGCAAAAAGGAGCATATTGCTTTAACTTAAATTTTCTTTTACTTCTCCTGACAATGTTCTCTATATTCTCTATTTTGACTTTTGAACGGGATGTGCGATATATAAAATACATAATATATCCAAGGGTATGATCTGATAAAAGTATTTTTTGATGCATTTTTTGGTTGTTTATGCACGTTGGCTTGGTTTATGTTTTATTCAGCTTATATTTATTTGGTATAACAGTTTTTTTTTACCTTTGGAATGGCATGCATTGAGGCTAGATAGTGTTTCATTAGATCATTAAAGGAATTTAAATTAGCATATATTTTTTGTGATATTAGTGTGTTATCATGATACAGGTAGCATAGTGCCTTATGCATGTTATTTACCTATTATATACTTATGTATTATCAGTAAATAGATGATAACATACTACTAAAATGTCTTATTAATAGTATGTTTATCTCTCCAATTCACTAGTTATTTGCAATGTATTTTGAACTAATTTAAGTCATTAATTGATCATCTTTCTTTTTCAGGTTCCGGGATATTCTTTTTCATTGTTAAATAAATATATATATATATATATATATATATATATATATATATATATATATATATATATATATATATTTATAATATTATTGTAATATAAATCGCAGCTCTAAAAAATAAATGATATTGTTTACTAATGTGTAATTTATTTACTATGAATTTTCTCTGAAAATAATAAGCCCTTTAATAATATTGATTTGCTGTGTAAAGTTAATAAACATATTTTTTTAATACATTAAATTATATTAAAGTAATAAAAATCTGTTTATTAACTTTAAACAGTAAGTCAGTGATTCTTATAAAAATATTTTTTTAAAAATTTCCCCTCTTTTAAGCCCCGCCCCTCCAATTCCCCTCAATTTAGCTAGTACTGCCAGGCGACACCAGGTGGCGTCTGTTTCCATTTTTTAACATGAAGTTAGCATTTCTTTAATGTACCTATTCTCTGGGTTAACTGTTCTTGCAAAATTATAACCTCTAATTTGGCAAGACGTTGACAAGCGTCAAAAATCTAAAGGCGAGTTCATACGCATCGGCGTCCGTTTGTCGTTCATCGTTCCGTCAAACCAATAAAATTAAAATACGATCTGTCATTTTTGAAATAAACCAATAAAACTGGTTAAAAACAACAAGAGACGACGCATGACGGATTTATATTTAAACCCATCCATAGTTAACTTAAAAATTATTAGAAACGTTTTTTAGTAAAATAAATAGATTGATATGGGACGTCATCTGCTTTTCTTCTGTCATGTTCTGTCGAAATCTTACTTGAGAAAAAAAACAGAGTATAGCTTCTATTACGTATAAAGTCAAAGCTTATAGAAACATATTATTTTTAAACCCCATTTGCTTTATGCAGCATTGTTGCATAGAGAACTACCTACTAATCTAGATCATTGGAATTTTTATATTTTAAAAGATAATCATATTTTTTTTGTTTTCCAGACTAGAAAGTATGTCCAAATAGTTTTGGTCTAAAACCTGCCAAGTATATCACAATGAAAAGTTATCCCTACATTCCCAGTATGGTGCAAGCTATCACTGTCCTTACGGTTTTGAAAATGATGACTAAAGGTAATCCAAATTTATTCTTATATTTAACAAATTCTCTGTCATTAAACTGAATGTAAATAGAAATAAGACCCACTTTCACAAATTAAGTCAACTGATCGATTCATTGAATTCATTTCGCATGAATCTTTGAATAAGAAGACTAAGGAAGGAGCATATCAAAAATCTTAGGTACACCGCGATGGGCCTCAAATATGGCCGACTTAAATTCCGGTTTATCAGTGTCGTTCTAATTTTATTTAAAAAATGTAAAACTATGATGTATGGTAGACGTGGGGTAGACTCAATAATTTGTTATTTTATTTTACGTTGTGAATAAATGTTGGTAGTTATTAAAATTGTTATAAAAATATATAATTCTAATAAAAATAGATAAGTTATAATAACTATTTATTAACACAAACATCCGATACGCTACTGAAGCAGGTAAGTCAAATTAACGTATCTAAATTCTTTGACATCTAATCTTTGACAAGTAATAAATAAAAGCTAAAATGCAAGAAAAATATATAATTTAGTTAATTTAAGTGAATTTCATAAATGATCGGTTTACTACACGTATGTATATTATATAGTCACTTACTAGCGAAAAGTTGTTCCATTATTTCACTCAATTTTTGCCGAGATCTACCGCACGCTACACAACCAACTATTTTAGAGTCTTTTTCGATAAATCGCGATAGTGTCACTGTTAATTTAAGTTCTGCCACAATTTCCATCTAGATTTACTACCTTTATACAACTATCAGTAGTAGAATAAATAATAAATAACATAAAATAAGCTCCGTCAAGACTGACAAATCCACAAAATTTCAAATCAAATTCAAATGTGTCAAATGAATCGTCAAACAGAACTGTCAAGGATCCCCACCCTAGAGAGCTTTTATGGTGGCTTTTCCGCCCACCATACATAAATACATGGATAGCATTATGCTCCTTCCTTAGTCTTCTTATTCAAAGTTTAGATGAGTTGATTCATTTCGCAGTTGACTACGGTTTAACTTTTAGCGTTGAAGTGGTGTTTTTGAAATGGCGTCAAGTAGGCCTCAGAAGAAAATTCTGTAAAGTTTATTAATATTTATGAAAAATATGAGTGTATACGGAACACACAGAATTCGATATACGAAATTACTTAACTTGGTTTTTAATTCTGGATGGAACTTTTTCCAACCAAAAAATTGAATTGCTTTGGAAAGGATTTTTCGTCTTTTATTTAGAATCTCTAGTAAATTTATTTGCCTATTTTTTTACTCCCAGCTCAAACATCTTGCGGTTCTGGTTCCTTGAATGGCAAAATATTGTACGAACGATTACCCAATATACAATTGCAAGGATTTGATGACGATGTAGTTAGAGATACGGCACCACCATTTACGGTTCTAGAAAAATGTCAAGATATGTGTCTAAGGGATCGGTCGTCAAACAACATCGTCAGGTAAGCAAAGACATTTTTTTATTAGTCAAGCAGTTTAATTTTAATACCTCTTCCTTTTTTAAAAGCTTATATTTCCAATTTTTATAGGCAATGTGCTTCTTTTGACTTTCAACCGGGAAGCAGGATAGCAACATTCAACGGAGACCCTCAATATGAAGAAAGTACGTGCTACCTCACTGGAGAACAAGCAAGACCAGAAGGACTAGGAACCTTGATGCTTGCTCCTAATAGTATCCATTTCACCGAAGTTTGCATATCATGTAAGTAATTTAATGATTGTAAAGGGTGTCCCATTTTCGTGTGTTTCAAATCTCCATATCTGTGTGTATCATCTTTAGCTTCATAAAAAAGTAGCACAGTGATGTGAAAATCGCATCTTTGTAACCTAACACTATTCATAAACGAGAAACCCCATGAAAGACACGAAAATGGGACACCCTGTACAGAGGTAGCGTGAACCAATTGTATAACTAACTAATATCAGATTAAAAAACGATGATTTTATCACCCGGCCGGATAGCCCCGGCAGCTATGGCCATTAAACCAAAGTACTACTACATCTATATCTCTGAATACTGCTACTAACCAACAATTTGTTTTGTGTGGTCTGTAATCTGTTTATGTTTAAATGTTTTGTTCATTATTCATGTTGGGGATTTATTTTTAAATTAATGTTAATCGATAAAGAACCAGTAAACTCATAGAATATGTATTTCTTTTGCGTAATCAAAATTATCACTCTAAATTTTACATAACCAAATTATCACTCTAAATCGCTGTCTTTTTTAGACAGATGTCACTTGTCTCAATTCATTATTGAAATTCTCAGAATGTTGTTAACAAAAGTTTCATCTTAAAATAAAATTTTAATCAATCACAATTGTTTATCTCCATCATTTACCGGATTAATAATACAGAAATTACAGTCGAATTCCAAACAATTCGTTATTTATAGTGTAATTTACCATATTATTCTTTGTAGCTAGTAGAACAGAACGAGAATGTCCAAACCGTCGATACGTGTTCGAGAGGCATCCCAGGAAGAAACTCAAACTACCACCGGCCGATATCAAAGAAATGGCCGCGACCAATCGCAGCGAATGCGAAGACAAGTGCCTCAACGAGTTCAGCTTCGTGTGTCGCTCAGCTACATTCGATTTAGGGTTGAGGACGTGTACTCTGAGTCGATTTACTAGAAGAACTCACCCGGAGTTGTTGGAAGATGATCCTGACAGCGATTATTTGGAAAATACATGTTTGAATGGCAAGTATAACTAAATAACTTTATTTCTTAATAATTAATTATTATAGCCTGTGTAACCAGGGAATACATAATATGATAGTGACAGTTGTTGTTTGTCATTATAATTTACAGGTAAATATTGTATTTTCTGCCATTTCTTGGATATCCTCTGTCGAAATCTTTCCTGGATCGTTGGACAAACTTGTGATTATTATATTAAAATTTTATCATAATATATGTGTATCTGATACACTTTTTTTGGAAAATAAAATTGTTACTGTATTAAGGCGCATTCTCACGACTAGTGTACTTGACAAACATTTGTTATTGGAATATACTTGCCATGTCGTGAGAAACTTCCTTGGTCACTCGTCGCGTCCCCACTCTCTGTCGGTAAATATAGCCCGAGTCAAACGATTAATCGTACACTTGCCAAGTGTACTTGGCCAGCCTTGTCTACACTTGCCGAGGCGCAAAAAAACGACTGCGCAAATAATTGTACTGTTATTAGAATTTAGAATTTTAGAATTTAGAATGAGTGGGAGGGGGGTTAATCACTTCGACCTTACAGATCCATTGTGTCCCCCTTTCTTGAATCATAACTCATCATACAGTCCCAGGGCTTTGACAAAAGCCAGTATCTGGGACGGTTTTATAGAGGGTAGTTCTTCATCTCCAATATCAGTCGTACCAAAATTCATGACACGAATGGTTGTCGTCTCGGCGCACTCAGTGATGAGGTGTACTGGTGTTTCACCATCTTCCCCACAGAATCTGCATTCGCCGTTTCTTCTTAGTTTCAATCTACTGAGGTGTTCATTGAGGAGACAGTGTCCTGTTAAAAACCCCGTGACAATCCGAAGATTGTTCTTACTCAGACCCAGGAAGATCTGTGATTTTTCTTCTGTGGTCATAAGCCCTCAGAAACTTCTTCGAGTGTCTTAGACCATTGCAAGATTTCCATTCCAGGTTGCGGATGGAATCTTCCAAGTTCTTGAGTTCCGCCTTGAGTTGGTTACCACTTGGAAAGCAGAACGGTTCTGGTCCAGTTAGTGGAGTGTTCGCTCCTTTCCTAGCTAGATTATTTGCTTTTTCATTGCCTTCTATCCCTTGGTGAACAGGCACCCAGTGTAGGAGGACTTTGTTTTCTTTGCCTAATTTATTCAGCTTCTCTATGCATTCTTTGACCAATTTCGAATTGATTGATACTGAGTTGATCGCCTTTAACGCTGCTTGACTATCAGATAAGATGGCTATTTCTTGTTTCCGATAGTTCCTATCTAAAATAAGTTGTACGCATCTCTCGATAGCGTAGATTTCTGCCTGTATTGTACTGTTATAGCGTATGTCCGATTTATTTCCGGATCGTAGTGTTTTTCGAGTTAATTGCTGATAATTTAAAACGTTAAAACAATAATAAATTATGTAATATCAAATTTACATTAATAACTTCAATATTGGCGGCATACCTAAATCGTTCCCGCAGCAATAAATGGAGTGTAGACAAATGAAGACTACACGGGAAAACCCAGATATGTTACATTTTCATAGAAATTAAGATAGCGATACAACTTTATGGACAAATGTTAACGTCATTCGAGAAAAAAGAAAGCAATAATACGCTTAGCCCCAGAGATATTTCAGCTTGGTTATTTTGCCGTACAAGGGAAAAAACAAAGTAGTCCCCGCGTAAATGGTAAAATCCAGAGATGTCCTTACGCATGGGCGACAAGCATGCATCTTGTAATTAGTAATACATGTAGTAAATTTATATATTCTAATAAAAACCTACTTAAATATTAATTTTCTTCCTACAAGAAAAAAATAATAGTTTAGATTTAGGTTTTATGCAACCTTTAATTAGAATCCCTGGGTTTTCACCTGTTTTTTTTTGCATTTTGACATTTTTATTTCGGTATTTCAGAATATGGTGATAATTAACAATATTAATAATTCAGAATTGGTAGTAATATATATTTTTCTAACTATTCAACCGAAAATAACATATTTCTTTAAAAGCACGAAATTGCATTTTTTTCGTCTCCAATTAACATGGACAACTGGTTTTCCCGTGTAGCCTCCAAATGATGCTGTTTTGAAATTTATGGATTTATACAAAAATGAGCCCTTCATATGGATGAACAAACATAAAGAACATAGAAATCGTATTGCAGTGTACAGTAAAAGAACTTAAAAAGAAAAAAGAATCACTAGCAACGACAATTTCAGGACGACCGGTATCCATGGATGCGACTATACTGTTTACTTGCCAAGGATTTCAATGTTTGTGCTGGCGTACTTGTTGAAATGAACACGTTGTGTGAGCGCCACACTTGCCACTGTTGTTTACAAAATGGGGACAGGTGGGGATACTTGCCAAGGACGCAAATATTGGCGTACTTGCCAAGTAAACCAGTAGTGAGAGTGCGCCTTTAGATGTATCTGTTAATCGATGCTTTAAGTGTTGTTTTTTGATTATTATTTACAAAATAATTCACAAAGTTCAATATACAGGGTGTCAAAAATAGTATACTAAACTTCAGTGGGTAAATCTACAGATAGGAACTTTTTTTTAATTTTTATCTGTAGAACCGTACAAAAAACGTTTCTAAATTTTTACGTTTCTAAATTAGTTTATTGATGTTACATATACTGGGTGACAATTTGAAAACGACCAGTATTTAATATTACCTCTACCGATGATAGTATGAAAATTTTTGGCGAAACACCTCAATTTACATATCAAGGGGGACAATTTTTGAGGCATTTGTTGTCGTGTTACTTTCAACCCCTTGACACCCAGGGCACCTACCCCTAAAATTTTAAATGGCAACCCCTATTTCTTTTACCATTTTTGTATTCCTTATAAAATTCTACATAACTAGGGTTAGAAGGCAGGACCTCATATGACTTTTTTAATAAAATTTTATTATTATTTTTTTAAAAAACTTTAGCAATATTTTCACAAAAATAATTAAAAATATTTTATTTGGTAATAGAGCATTGATATTTCGGCTCTATAAGATAATTATTCATCAAAAAAATAATAATTTAATGTAAAATTAGGTATATTTTTTGGATTTCCTCAAAAATCCTATCAAAAATGATACGAGGTACTGCACTGTAACCCTCGATAAACTAATGATAAAATAATGCAGTTTATGTAGAATTCTATAAGAAACAAAAAAATGGTAAAAGAAATAGGGGTTGCTATTTAAAATTTTAGGGGTAGGTGCCCTGGGGGTCAAAGGGTTGAAAGTAACACGACAAGAAATGCCTCAAAAATTGTCCCCCTTGATATGTAAATTGACGTGTTTCGCCAAATTTTCATACTATCATCCAGGTAGAGCGTAGAGGCAATATTAAATACTGTTAGTTTTCAAATTGTCACCCTGTATATCTAATTTTTCTGTTTATGATTTTTCTGTAGCCGATAGACGATGCGATGGTTTGGCTGTATTTATAAAAGAAGAAAACAAACGCTTAGGAGGACCGTTCGAGGTGGACCTATTCACCAATTTGACATTAGAAGATTGTCAAATAATGTGTGTGCGCGCTGAAAAATATCTTTGCAGGTAAGGAAATCATATTCTGGAAAACTAAATTAAAAAATATTGTAGTTTAGAGCATAAAGTATACAAGTGGTTATGATTTCCAGATCAATCGAATATGATGAAATGACAAAACAGTGCACGCTCTCCGAAGAAGATTCCGTGTCCCAAAAAGACGACATCGGAGTTTCTAGCAGCCCTACTCATCATTTCTACGATTTCGTCTGTCTAGATAGCCGTAAGTAATAATACAGTATGATCAAAATGTGACCGAGCACATAAATACTTTTTTAAAATAGTTCAATATCTTAAAAATGAAAATGTTGAGACAAAAACTTACTAGCTTTGCTAAGAGAAAGACAGCTCTCATTTGTAACCAAAATTACACTCTATACATAAAATCTTTTATGGTTATGAATAGAGATAAAAATAGAGTTATTATTTTTAGCCAGAGGATCAGAATATCCAGATAATTCTGTAACGTCCCATCTTTTTACGGATAAAAAACCAGACACGGCATTTCAACGATACAGAAACAGCAGATTGGGAGGTAAGTAGTATACAGGTTGTTAATTTGTTTATTACTCGCGGCAAGAGCTTTATGGTTGAAATATGGCAACCTCGGCCCGCTCGTCGATAGACGACGCGACGGGACGAGTTGGCAGAAAACCCTGTAAGTGCATGCGTTCTCAATAGGCAGTGTTGCCATTCTGTTCCCCTATAAGTAACTGTCCAGTTAACAACCTGTATACAGTTTATACCAAATAAACTTTCAGTCACGTGATTAAGCTTGACCGGTACAGCGTTGCCCACTTTTATATATTTTCTTTTAATCAAAATATTTTAGGAAACAGAAATAAATTAATTATAAATATATAAACAGTTATTATTTAGATCAACAAAACTCACTTCCTTAACAGCACTTAAGAGACATGGGGTCATTACTATCGCTTTCCCGTTCAAAATATTCTAATAAAGTTGCATTGAGTTTTTTACGGCTATTAAGCTATCTTGTACACTTCGCACTTAAAGAGGTTCTAAAAAGAACATTGTTCGACTGCAAGATCTGTTAGTAAACACTATTTGTTTATCGAACGAACCAAAAACTCATAATAAAAAAATATAGAGTCAAAACGAATGACAATGTCAGGAAATAAATAAATAAATTATAGTGATAAAAACTTATAGTGATAAAATGTAAAATATTCAGATTTGTATCTAAATATAATCCTACAGTACTTTTAATAATAAAACTGCTGGGGAATGATAAAACCTATGATAATTTCGACTTCATTTACTAAAAATTGACATAAAACTTTTAAAAAAATTAACACTAATAATTATAGAACGATTAAACAAGGATAGAACTTTTCCAGACACATATCTATATCAAAAAAAAATTTCTCGAATTTTAAACTACACCATTTAAAATTCTTTTTACTCGATATAAAAATAATTACAAGCTTCTCAAGGCCAACAGGCAGTAAGCGGCATTAAAAAATAAAGAGTACGGACTAAGTAAATGACGTCTAGGGCTTGACCTCGCCAAAATTATCATCGATTGCCATTCCTCAACCATCCTTGACGCCGTTTTTTAATCGTACGGTATATAACTTCATAGGAGATCACAATTCGGAGATATCTGGTCGATCACTCAGTGAATGTCTGGATGAATGCTTGAGACAGCCCAGCTTCCAATGCAGATCTGCGGAATATAGTGAGCGATACAGAAGTTGCAGGTTATCCAGGTTTAATCAACGCGACGGCATGAGAATAATCTACGATGCAGATTATGATTATTACGAAAATCTTATGCGTAAGTAGTGCCGTTTTCTATTTTTTTCAACTATAATTAAATTTCAATCGCAAATAATATAGTGGGTGGAGATGGAGATGGTTCCAGACCAGACGGAGGAGGAGTTTACCATCCCGGAGACAGTGGCGGTACCTACAGACCAGGAGGTGGTTCTAGATATCCACCGGGAGAACGTTATCCTATTACGACGGGAAGTAGATATCCACCTAACGTGGATGACTACGATGACAGATATCCATCCAGAAGACCAGGAGGATATCAGGATAGGTATCCCACTGATGACAGGTAGCTATAAAAAAATTACAAGTTTATACAGATAAAATATACATCATTTTATGATCTCTCTATAGATATGGTGGTAGATATCCCTCGGATAGGTATCCTTACAGACCTCTTGGTCCACCAAGGTACCCACCATCTTCAAGCGGAGGAGACAAGTTTTATCCTGTAGATGACAGAGATCGCGATAGGTAATAAAGAGATTAATTTAATATTAATATAGGAGGCTGTTGAATTTTGTAAAGAACTTCTTAGGATAACCCTGTATATTGTACATTATCTTTATCTTATGTCCTAGGTATCCTTCTTACATTCTTCCATCAGGTGAAGGAGGCTTATATCCAAGGCCTAGACCAACCTACAGTGGAGGATATGGTGACAGGTACTGTATCTAAAATACCAAAATGATTTGGCCTCAAATAATAACTATAGTCTGTGAAACGAATAACTTTGAATTTGACAGTTCCGGCGGGCTTTCCTAGTGTTAATTTTATTAAGTTAGCAACTTGCGGCCATGCTGATGCAATGCCGTCTCAGAACAGCCATGGAGCGAATTTTATGACGTCACGCTAGTTGGATACTACGTATTAATAAATATGTTGTAGAATACATGGAAAACATAATTATTCCTCGTATAGGTATATCATTTTATGGATTCTATTCGACACTATTTTTTTCATATCACACAACACTGATGAAGGCTATAAACGTTAGCTATAACGTTTTTTTTAAACCAAAAAAAATAATGAAAACTTAATCAGCGTTTATATTTATTCATGAAATGAAATCATTTTTTACAAGAAGAGACCTCAGTGCGGATCTCAGAACTCGAATGGCCAGATGCTACGTCTTCTCTGTGTTACTCTATGGATGTGAGAGCTGGACACTGGATTCACAGACCGAGAAGAGAATAGAAGCCTTCGAAATGTATATATACAGACGGATGCTGCGAATCTCATGGGTACAAAGGATCACCAACAATGAAGTACTCCAGCGCATGCAGAAACAAAAAGAGATACTGAACACCATCAAGGAAAGAAAAATGCAATACCTGGGTTATGTGATGAGAGGTGGTAGATACGAAATACTGCGCCTCATAATAGAGGGCAAAGTGCAAGGGAAAAGATCAGTAGGATGACGCCAGAACTCATGGCTAAAAGATTTGAGGAGATGGTTTGAACGCTCGTGTGCGGAAATCTTCCGGGCTGCAGTTTCCAGAGCCACAATTGCCATTTGGATCGCCAACCTTCGGCAGGAGAGGGCGTGATAAGAAGAAGAAGAAAATCAGCGTTTTTCCCGAACCTAAATCCCAAGAAAATCAAAAATTTTAGAATAATTTTACATATAAAATGACATCTTTATTTCATAGCCATCGCTGACGCCTTTTTTTCTATGATATTGTATTATTTTCAAATATAAATTTTTCAAACATTGATGCTTTCAAAATATACATATAAATTTTGTGAATGTAAATAATACTATATCACTATTAGTGATTATATCACTATTAGTGATTATATCACTATTAGTGATTATATCACTATTAGAGTATTATATCACTATTAGTAGATATTGAATGTTTTTTGTTAAATTAGATCGATTTTCAAACCCCAAAATTTAAAATATATTTTACATTTTACCCATTATCTTATGTACCTAGTCATTATTTGTATATTGTAAAACATTTGCTGCATTTGTATGGTTCATAGTTTATTTGCCAAAGTATTTATTACTATAAATAGGTATATATATTGTATTTATTAACTGTATATTATGTATATCATGTAAACTATATCATTTTTAAAATACAAACCAAAAATACGAGGAATAATTATGTTTTCCATACTATTTATTAATCCGTGGTATCTAACTAGCGTGACGTCATAAATCTCGCTCCGAGGCTGTTCTATTAGAGACGGCATTGGGCTGATATTTAGAAATGTCACAAGCTGATGACATTTTACTTTTGTCAATTACGACATTTCGCGTCGATTTTTGCAAGAAGAGGAAGAACTGTCACTTGTTTTATTATTTTCCTTTTCTATTTCACGAAAGTAAAAAGAGTTACCTATCTGATTCGTTCAGGCACTTATTTTAAAGAATATCAGTAACTTTTTGGACAGAGGGATTTGATATTTGCCATGTTGGTAAAAAATAACGGTCAAAATTCAAAGTTATTCATTTTATAGACTATATAAACTAGAGTTTATTCAACGCCAAGAAGCACCAAACGCAAACAAATACATAAGTCATTCACGTTGAACAGAATACTATTATATCATTCTCTCCAATTTCCAGTTTATTCAAACATTTCCAATTATGGTGTAGCCTCCATTACATAATTAAATAATATTCTTTTAATTGGATTCATTGTTGTCTATTTTTGTGTATATGGGCCCAAGTTATCCCTGCCAATTTCCTGATATCATCCCATTTTAGGTTTGGACTTCTACGTCTCTTAGTTCCTCGTGGGTACCATGGCTATCATGCTGTAATTTTTGTGGTCCATCTTCTTGCCAGTTCTTCTTGTCAGGTGTCCTGCCTATTGCCACTTAATGAATTTAATTCTGTCTGGCATCTATTACCCGTATCTTTTGTCGTATCCACTCTATTATTTTACGGTCTCTCTGGGTTTTTTAGTTCCATCGAGTGTCGTATGACCTGAAGTTCCCCTATGATGTCGGTTTTAAGTGTATACCTAGGTTTCGTATGCATAGGTCATGACTGGTAGTACACAATGATCGAATGTTTTCTTCCTTAGATAAAGTGGCATTCTAGATCTGAAGATGATTGAGTTTCTTCCATAATATGTATTCCATGCTAACTTAATTCTTCAATTGATGTATTATCAGTCTAGTACAGTGTAGTATTAACGATACTACACAGTACTACACTGTAGAAATACTACACATATCAGTGCAGTAATAATATAATAAAATATTAGTGTAGTACTACCGTTCACGTGCATGCCTCATATATTTGTTTACCTTAGGTGCATCTTGGCATTAATTGGAGTAGATATTAATATATTATTCTTCAGGTATGGCAGTAGATACGGTGACAGGTACGACTATAAACAAGACAGTTTTTATGGAGATAGACTTGGAGGAAGGGATAGATATAATATTGATAGATACCCTGTAGGTGTAGGAAGATATCCTTCAGACAGAGATAGATACAGTGGCAATAGGGATAAATATTACCCGGATAGAGATAGATATAATGGTGGATATCGTAGTCGATACGATGAAGATGACCGATACAACGCAAGGTATTTAAAAAAAAACTTTTTCTTACAAAATGCGCTTCATTTGATATTCTACTTGTTAAAAAATATCGCTCTTATACAGGGTGGTCTGGAAATTCTGTATCGAAACATTGAATTTCTCAAATATCTATTTTTTTCATAATACTGAGAACTACGATACTCCGTTTCAAGTTTTTGCTAAACAAATTACAACGAGCAAAAAATGATCGTAAACTAAAAAGTGTAAAGTGTAATTAAAACCACTAATGTTGAGGTTGAAATGAAGCTTTAGTCTCTCTCAAACTAGTACTTTTTTCATAACTTTGAGAACTAGGATACACCCTTTCTATTTTTTGTTAAACAACTTGCAATGAACAAACGTCTAAGGATGTCGAAGCAATATTGTCAGTAAAATCTCAGTTTCGTTGTCGTATAGTCCTAAGGGCTGTGCACATTATCATACACGTATCGTTTGCAGTAACGTTTTGATTCCGAGAAATATTAATAAGCAGCAGGTATCGTATAATCGACTTTAATAATAGAATTTAACTTTTAGGTATGGTGATCGCTATAACGATCGCTATGGAGGTACTAGATACGGCGGAAACAATAATAGATACGATGTTAACAGATACGACACCAATCGATACAGTTACTATGGAGATGACCGAGATGGTGGCAGCAGATACTTTTTTAGACCACCGTCACCGGATCGGCGACCATATGGTAAAGTTACAAAAATTACAGGGTGTCCCGTATAAGAATGCACATTACAGGGATATCGTAAACCAGAAGAGATACAGAGATGACTAAATTAGAGAGAAAATGCGTCTTGCTGAACCCTACAACGTCATGTCTCAAAATCTAAAAAAAAATCCGATTAACTTCCGAGGATATTTCAGAAAACATGAATTCTCCCGATTTCGTTTATTTATTAGAGTCTCAATCTGACGTTTCATTTTTGAGATACCATCATCAACTTTACTTTTTTAAATAGGGAACTAGATTTTATATTTAATTTTGTAAACGCTTATGATCTCCTAAGTACAATGATGCAGCACACTTGACTAAAAATGTATAATAAAGAATATTCTCATAAGAGAGAGGCAATGGGTTTGGGAGAGATGTGTACATACATGGTATATCTATTATTTCGTATATTTTTCATTTTATTGATTTTATGGAAAGCGCTGTTCATTAAAATGTTGTATCCTATGTTATAGGGCTTGTTTCTCTCTACAATTTCCAGTCTCACAATGTACCGTTTGTGTCCGGGAAGGGATCATAGTTTTATAGTTGTCGATTTTCGAAAAAAATCAGTACATGTATATTATTTCGTATATTTTTCCTTTGATTGATTTTATCGAAAGCACTGTTCAATGTTGTATCCTATGTTATAGGGCTTGTTTCTGTCTACAATTTCCTGTCTCACAATGTACCGTTTGTGTCCGGGAAGGGATCATAGTTTCATAGTTGTCGATTTTCGAAAGAAATACATGGTGATTCACGGCCATGGCACGTTCGACGTTTATGGCGAACCGGTGTTTTTTGAAAATTTGGATTTTTACATAAAGGCACCTGCCCCACCTTTCTAAAATATTTTCAGCATTACAGTGTTGCCGCATCATTTGAAAAGTGGTAGTATCTTTCTTATTTTAAATAAAACATCCAGTATATTATTACTTTTTTGGAAACTACTTTCATATCTCATAATTTTTCTATTATACTAACCTATACCTATCTCAAATAGTTTTTGAGATAAAAAATGAAACATATATGTGTAAAATTAACAAAAACATGGGTAAAATCATGAATTAGACATTTTTAAAGTTGAAATTTGCATTATAAGTTAACGAAAGTCGGTATATTCGATCTGTCTAAATGATTGGATATCAAACAGGGAGATCAGAAAAAATAATTATTTCCGTTTGTTATAAAATCGTTCAAATTATTGTTATTTTAAATTCAAGCCTATGTATATTATTTAAAAAAACGAAACCCAACCGATATTGCTTTTCAACGATATATTATGTTCCTATACCTAAACCTTCTAGTTCCTTCAGTAAAGCCATTTAAAAGATAATAATTCTATTATAATTGTTTCATTTAAAGAAAATTTTTACCAAGACAAATATTCAAACCTTATAAGTATCAATTAGATTATACGTTCTAATTTCTAAAATTATTTATCTCTTTTAGTTTACGTGATTCCTATAGTGTACCTTCTTATATAGATAAAAACAAATTATAAACTCAATATTATTTATCTTTAGGTCGCCCTGTAGAAACTCGACCACCACTAGCACCCAGTTCGATTGGATACGATGCTAGACCACCTTTGGGACCCTACACCAATCGCAGACCTCTATCGCCTGGACCAGATGGACCCATCTACGATGGTCTGGGGCCTGTTGGACCCGGTAGACCATACGCATCGAGGTATCTGTGTTGGGATAATATTTGTATTAATTATTGTACTGTAACATACAGAAAGTAATAAATGTGATGGACAATCGGTTATGAAAGACCTTTTTTCAGACCATATTATCATCATCATAATCATCAACCAGCCAATAAAGTCCACTGCTGGACGTAGACCTCCATTTGTTTCTATAACTTGAGCAATTTGTATCTTTGATTTTTCTCGGTCGTAAGTTCTGAGAAATGTCTTCGAGTGTCTTAGACTGTTCCCAAGTGAAGGATTCCCATTCCAGGTTACGGATGAAGTCTTTCAAGTTCTTCAGTTCCGCTTTAAGTTGGTTTCCACGTGAGAAGCAGAACAGTTCTGGTTCAGTTAGTGCAGTGTTCGCTCCTTTTCTGGCTAGGTCGTTTGCTATTTAATTGGCTTCAATCCCTTGAGGAGCTGGTATAGTGAGTACGAAGACTTTATGAAAGAGAGGTCTCTATATCTTTGAGATTCCATTTCATAATATACCCTAGATGTCCCCAAGTGCACCCAATTTCATCCAGCTTCTGTGGATGCGTTTTAAGTTATACATACATACCGCCATTACTCGTTGACGAGTATTTGACAAGCATCAGAAGATGGTCACGGAATGCGTTTTCTTTCATGAGCTTTTCTGTGAGTGAAAAGCCCGATACGTGATGTTATCTGTCTACCGCACTCCAGACATTCAAAAATCTCATTGCTTTGTTGCCTCTTTACTTTTTGGTTGTCGCTCTTAACTGACTTTACAGTTCTTCTCCATTCCGTTCTATTGTGAGCTGCCTCTTCCCACTCATTCTGCTTGTTAATTCCCTTTAAGTTTTCGTGGAAAATATCCTTGAACCTTTTGAGTTGTCCACCCGGCCGCCTCTTACCGTCTACAAGCTCACCGTAAAGCAGAGATTTTGGTATGCGGTTTTCTTGCATTCTGCATACGTGACCAGCCCATCTTAAGCGGGACTTTGTAATCATGACTTCAATACTCTCGCAGTTAGCTTTTTCAAGGACCGATACGTTTAAGACGTGATGGAACCATTTTATTCTTAAGAGTTGTCTAAGACGTCTCTGTTGCAACTTATTTAATGCGTTCATATGTCGGCGGTACGGCACCCAGGTTTCGCTTCCATATAACATGGTGGGAATTATTATCGCTCGGTACACCGCAAGTTTCGTTTTTGTGCTCAAGTCATGATTGTAGAAAACCCTGTCTTTTAATTTCCAGAATGCTCTCAGAAGTCGATATTAGCCTTTTCCGAAATCAAACTACCGAGGTAATTGAATTCCGCTACATATTCCAACAGTTCATCTCCGATTTTTATAGCATTGTTGTGATCTTCCGGGGGAGTGCACATGATTTTAGTTTTATCGATGTTCAGCTTCCAGTCCCAAGGCCTCGTATGGCCATGTATATGTGTTCAACATTTCTTGCAATTGCTGTAGCGTATTTGCAACTAGAGCACAGTAATCAGTGTATTGAAGTTCTGTGATGAATCTTGTACGTGTTTTTGCCCTGAGTCTTTTTATGTTGTACAGACCGCCGTCGTATCTGTATCTAATGCCCAAACCTCTCTCCTGCAGTTTGCTGTCCACTATAATGGAGAGCGCTGCCATGAATATATTGAATAGGAGAGGCGCTAAGACACATCCCTGCCTAACGCCTGTGTTTGTTAGGAAGGGATCGCTCAGTGATCCATGATATGACACTATTGATTTGTTGTTGTTATGGAGGCTTTTACACACTATAAGAAATTTGATGGGTACTCCGAACTTTTTCATAATTGCCCAAAGTGCATCTCTGTTCGCAGAGTCGAAGGCTTTTGTTAGATCGATGAATGCAACGTAAAGTTTAGACTGCTGCTCTTTTACTTTTTCCTATAGTTGCCGGATGGAGAATATGGAATCGACGGTACCGCGGTTGGTGCAAAAACCCGTTTGCGATTCTGGGATGATTTTTTCTATATGTGGGTGCAGGCGGTTTGACATAATTTTTGCAACAGTTTTTCCTCCGATAGCCAGTAGTGAAATTCCTCGGTAGTTTCCGCAGTCTGATGCACTTCCTTTGTTCTTAAATATATTCACTATATTCGCGTTGCAAAAGTCCTGAGGTACCTCTCCGCTTTCCCATATGACATCAAAGAGAGCCTTAAGATGACCAATAAGTTCTTTACTTCAACACTTATAGATTTCCGCCGGAATCGCGTCACAGCCAGCTGATTTGTTGTTTTTAAGCTGTTTTATGGAGTCCTTTATTTCCTGTTCTGTTATTGGAATGTCTAATACATCGAGGCTGTTATACTGAGGTATTATGTTGAGTGCTTCTATATTGGGGTTGTTTTCTCTTGGTTAAGGATATGGCTGTAATGCATGTAATGTTTTAAGTTATATCCTCTTTTCGAAGGACGACTTCTGCTCCTGAATGTATTTTGTCTCGGTCTATATCACAACTCGTTCATCGATCATCGTTTAGTCTTGCAATGTGCCCTGCCCAATTTCATTTGAAAGTTGTTATTTTTTCTGTGATACCCTTTTTCGAACCACACTTCCTTTTTTATAAAGTTCATTTCTTCTAGTAAATCTCATTAATCATTTTTCTCACTCTGTCTATTCAATTCTATCTTGGTTGGTTCGTCGTTATGATGTCACTCACTTTAAAGACTTTATCCCTATACATTATACAACTGGATTGTTAAGTGTTGTAGTTTACAGTTTTTTCTATGTTAGTTTATATTCCATCGGACTGTATGTTACATTTGTTGTAGTTGCATTCTGACTTTTAAACTTCTAGAGATGTTCTTGTCCATAACAATTCGTTTTTAGTGCGTTTACACTAGTAGTGGGAACTATCGAATGAATACTATCGAAACATTCGATAGTTGCAATTCATTCGAATAATTCGATAGTTAGTAAGAAAACATTCGTTGAAAACTATTCGAATAAAAATTATCGAATAGATCCGTCATCTGCCTTGAAATATTGTATTCTAGTAATTCGGCAGCAAAAACCATTCATTTATAAAATTCATTCATTTATGAAATTCATTTATTCGTCAGGATCGATTATAATAAAATATTAACTGAATTTTAGTTGTCGCCCGGCGACGTAGGTTTCTTTCCGAGAAATCCGACAGGCGGTCGGTGGCAATGCTATGAAAGAAGCCGGCATCTTTGATTTTTTGCGGAGTCAGATATAGATAAGGACACATTATTTTTTTTATTGAGGTGCTAGTATTTACACAGAAAATACATTATGAAGGGCGCTGTTGCCATATTTTGGTATTAGTTGATATTAGCAAAGAATATTATTGTTTGGCTTTAGTTAGTTAAGGCAAAGTTTACAGAATATTCTGTAAACTTTGGTTAAGGTTAGTATGTCTATATATTCTGCATTTTTTATTAATATTCTGTTGTTACACTGCAATAATACTTGTTATTTTGGATGTAGGAAAATGATTTTTAATGTTTTTAAGCAAAGACTGCTTTAATAAATAATAATAACAGTAATAATTTGTTATACCTATTAACAAAAAATTTAAAATCATTTAATATAAATATCTTTTTTAAGTAGTAGCCTTTGGTAGTAAAAATATAAACAACAAATTAGATGTCAAAATTATTTATATTAGATCCTATTTAAAATAATATAGTCTCTAAATTTTTTGTGTGGCAACGTTGGTTTATTAAATAATAATAATAATAATAATAACAGAACTAATTTGTTATATTAACAACAAATTTTAAAATCATGAAATATAAACATTTATTAATTTTCTAAGCATGCAGTGTAATGGAAGGAAAATATAAAAAATTAGAAATTAAAATTATTTATATTAGATGCTTTATATTACTATTAAAAATTATATTTACTTTTACTGGCATTTACTTTAAAAAATAAATGAAATATTTCTTCGCAAAAACTACATGTAAGAGAATTAGCATAAACAAAATACAAACATCGTTAACTTTTTTTTTAAATTGGCACGTGTAAAACTTTCATTTTAATTTTCTCACCCCATAGTTTGAGTTCGATAACCATTTACTTAACCACATTACTTTAATATGATTATTAAGTTCAACTAATTCATATTATTAAAACATCTAAAATACAAATATGTACTTTTAAAATTAATTTAAGTTCATCTCATCTCTCTTAAAAATTGCTACTTCTCAAAATTTCCCATTAAAAAATAGACCATATACCATATAAAATTAAATAATTGAAAGATCGGACTACGGAAAACCACACAACTTTTCGGAAAAATTTTGACCACCTGCACATGCACACAATCGTCAATAAATAAAATTAAAAAATAACTACTATTTTAGTATTTTAACTATTTTAGTAAACGCAAAAATAGCACAGTATTTATACGGTGAAGTTATAAAAATTTGGAAGAACTAATAATGCACTGACGCATACAAAAATCAAACGAATACTAAATTTCATTTATCAAAAGCATTCGATAGTCGTGGCTCAACGATAACCATTTAGTCGCACGGCGAGGTTGTCACATATGCTTTAGTATACAAATGAATGAATGATTTTATTCGAATAAAACCATTCGATAGTTGAAATCATTCATTCATTAACCATTCGATAGTCTAATTCATTCGATAGTTCCCATCGCTAGTTTACACATCTATTTTCTGCCATTATTCTTGATACAATTTCCTGGATTACATTTGATTTCCTTAAAAATACGGTTCCTAGATATCTGAATGTATCTACTTCCTCAAACTTGTATGGTTTCCCTCTCTCGGAATCTTATCTTCCCCATCAACCTTATGTACGTTATCACATATTATTTAAAAAAAAGACCAATAAAATTGCTTTTCGACGATATGTTTTGTCCCTACATCAAAACCTTCTGGTTTCTTCAGTTATGTTATTATTTTAGATGTGACGACAGTGACAGTTTCAAACAGATGGGTTCCAGACTGAGGGCAAGAAAAGAATACGTCAGAAAAAGCATATTTACGCCATCTTTGGGCAGATGTCAGCAGGAGTGCGTAGAAGAAAGAGATTTTATATGCAAATCGTTCAATTTCAGGTAAATTATATGTACCGATACGTATACATCGGAATCTCGTTAAGTATAAGAGATACAAACGGTGTTTAAAAAAATTTTAAAAAATAAAGTTGCGGAAAATAGCTCGGGAACGAAACGTAGGATTTGATATTTCATAATATTAAGAGAAAAAAGTGAAAAGATGAAATGGTATTTATTTTAAATATCTCTTGAAATAAACTCAAGAAAAAATAAAATGATTTTACAATATGTAGTTTTTTTTCTAATATTTTTGAGTTTTTTCATTTTCAAAGCATCATCAATTATCACCCTCGAATTTAGGACATCCTTTATATCGTTTAACGGATTTTATATTTGTCTCGCTCCAGTGTTATTACCTGTGAACATACAGTTACTGAATGAATATTTCGCAATTTATACTATTAATGGCCATAAAATCTAGGTATTTGTGTAATTCATTATTTCGTACATTTCCGTAATTACACGTATTATTAATAAAAATGGGGAAAAAACTAAAATGTAAACAACTACCTACTAACGTCAAAAATAATAGCAATCATGGGAAAAACTGTCGTCCCAATATCGTACAATTTAGACATTTAGTTCAATGTAACAATTAATAGTAACTTAAAAAATGTCACGAAACTAAGTTTTTCAATCGCAAAGTAATAAAAAAATGGCATAGTTCTTTATATTTTGTAGCTAATAAAATATATACAGGGCGTTCTTTTTTGAAATTTCGGGCGAAAATATTTCATCAAAAAATATGACGGGTGTCTATCTACTCTCTAACATACAGGATATTAAACTTTTTTAAAAAAATAGGTTTTATATACCATACGATAAAAAAAACGGTGTCAAAGACGACTGGGGACTGAAAATCGGCTATAATTTTAGCGAGGTCAAGCCCTAGATGTCATTACTTGGCCCACACTTTCCTTTATTTTTTAATGGCGTTTGAATGGTTTTCCTTTATTTTGTTGGCCTTAAGAAGATTGTAATTTATTTTTATATTGATTACAAATGATTTTTAAATGGCGTAGTTTAAAATCGAGCAAAAATAATTTTTTGGACATAGATTGGTGTGTCTAACGTTCTATCCTTTTTAATCTTTCCATAATTAGTGTTAATTTTTACAGGTTTATTTCGACTTTTTGTAAATGACGTATAGAGATTGACTTCGCCAAAATTACCATCGATTGTCTTTCCTCAGCCGTCTTAGACGCCGTTTTTTTTCGATCATACGGTATTTATTTTATATAGAATTTCCTTGAAATTCGTCAATGTTATTTTTTTAGTAATCATGTCCTAATTTAGGCCCAACTAAAATAAAAAATATTAGCATCAGAAAAAATGTACGCCATTGACTTTCCTCGCAGTTTTGATTTTTCTGGATAAGGCAACTAAAAATAAAACTTTTATTCCCTTGTATCATACCTATCCAGAACTGCTTTCGAGAAAAAATCCAGTTCATGTCCAGAGATCTGCACTCAGGACCCCATTAAAAACAAATAAAATGCTTGCTAACAACTAACAAACTATAAAATAATTATTAAAGAAATAAATACAATTCTAGAGAAGCGGCACCGGGTCATGAAAGCGACCGAGAAAACTGCGAATTGAGCGACAGAGACACCAGATACTTGGAAATGGGAAATTCGCAATATTTTGACAACACTGGCAATTTTGACTACTACGAGAGATCCATATCTGCAAATGGACTTGATGGAGACTGCCTAGATGGTAAATTTTCTTTTTTTTTATTCACAAAAGATAATTTTCAATGATCTTAAGATTATTGTTATCAAATAAAAATTTTCTTGTACAGTAAGCCAAGTGTGTAGCGAGGATGGAATGGAATTCACGCTAAGGACTCCCGAAGGCTTCTATGGTCGTATCTACGCACATGGATTCTATGATAGATGTTTCTTTAGAGGGAATGGTGGAACTATCAATGTTCTAAGAATAAGTGGTGCTCAGGTATACCATTTTTAAAACTAAAAGTCTTTATGTTAAAAAAACAACACGAAATACATAACTTTTCTTAAACATTTAAAAGAACAATACAAATATGAATTGTTCAAGTTAAAGTTGTATCAGTGATCATCGAACAATATCAGTATCGAAATAATTAATTCTATCTAATTGTTATTATTATTGTCATTCTTTGATAAAAATATTTTATACAATATAATTTTAGGGCTATCCAGAATGTGGTACTCAAAGATACGGAGACACTATGACCAACATAGTAGTGGTTCAGTTCAGCGACTACGTTCAAACCGGTAAAGACAAACGGTTCAATTTGACCTGCTTGTTTAGAGGACCTGGAGAAGCAGTAGTATCGTCTGGATTCATTGGTGCTGGGTAAGAAATTACCAATTTATAGTTATTCATGTATCAAGGGAATTATAAGTTATCTTCGGTGTATGTTTTAGATCTGGTAGTCCGATACCCATCGAATACTTGCCAGCCGAAAATACCCTAAGCTCAAAGGTGAGGCTGATGATCTTGTACCAAGGCAGACCGACCACCACTATAGCTGTGGGTGACCCGTTGACATTCAGACTGGAGGCTCAAGATGGATACAACTACGCCACAGATATATTTGCCACGAATGTAGTAGCTAGAGATCCGTACTCAGGAAGATCCGTCCAACTTATAGATAGATTTGGGTAGGTACTTGAATCACAGCCTATTAATAAACAGCCAGTCGACTTTAACCTTGCTAGTATAATTCTTTTATCTTAGAAAATAAAAAAGTTATAGGAGTGAAACAATTTTAAAAAACACTTGGTAGACATGATTAAAATTTACGCGTATCTTCTTGCTCCTTCTTGCTCCATCCAATTCAAAGATAAACTATATTTCTAGTCATTTTTTGGTTGTCGTTTGTCTAAATATTTTCCGACTCGTTGAACAGACTTTATTTTGTATTAACGGTGTATAAATCTACATAAGTGTCAATTGGTTATTTCAGATGTCCTGTGGACCCCTTTGTATTTCCTGAGCTGGACAAAGGAAGAAATGCCGACAGCTTAGAGGCCAGATTCAACGCCTTCAAAATACCGGAGTCCAACTTTTTGGTGTTTGAAGCCACTGTCAGAACGTGTAGGGAAGGCTGTCAACCAGCCTACTGTCAAACAGGAAGCGGAAGGTACCATTTTCTTTCACTCTTAAAAAAATTTCAGTGTATTTGTAAATACAAAAATGGTAAAATAAATCAATTCGATTCTCTCTCTCATCATTGGGATCTCCGATACTTCCAAAGGTTTTTCCAAAAAAAACCGATTATTTGCTGCCTAAATTGTATTCTTCTCAATACTGTTTTCTTTTATAGATCAGAGCCATCATTTGGACGAAGAAGACGTTCATTAAATGACACGCAGGATGTAATTGAAACTCCGACAAAGAACAGCACCAACTCTAACTTGATCATGTCCAAAGACACGCAGATTACTTCGAAGGATTCAGCAATGTCTGCTTTAAGCTCTAAAACTGACGAGCAAAAAAGCCAAAACGACGTTGTGGTCGGCGAGGAACCTACCAAAGTTTCCACGGAAAAAGCTAAAGAAGACGAACCTGAATACGTGAGAGAAATGATAGAGGTTAGTTAGATCTACTGAATCTATAAGTAATATATTTATTTATTCACAAGACTGGGGTGCAACAGAAAAAAAATTGTGTCAGGAAGTGGAAAATATTTAAACATGAAATATATAAATTCGTATCATCGAAAAAACTCTTAATGAACCCTGTATAATTCGTTTGGCGTTTCTCAGGTGTTTGATTCTCGCGAAGAGATGCCTCAAGCCCGGAAAGCAGAACCGGCTCCGGAATACGTCTGTCTCTCTCCCGGAGAGTATCACGGATTTATTGGAACTATTTTCGTGCTGGTCGCCATTTTGCTCACAGCCTCGCTATTGGCCGGTTTAGCCTATCGCAAGTACTGGCTCGTTATGAAGAAGAACATGCTAGCCGATCGTATTTCATCCTCTTCAAATTCTTCTTCGACGGCTACCTCGTATCCCACGACTAGGAGCAGCGGATTGTCTACAGGTAAGATTGCAAATTTTAAAGAGTAGTAGAGTAGTATTTTTGACCGGTCGCGGTCCCTCAATAAGCGACTTTATACTGTACATGTTTTTTTTCCTTTTCTATGTACTTTTATTTTTCTTTTTCGATGTCAAGGCGTGTCTATATTTGGCACCAACATCCAAAAACCCTTTTCCAACTTCAGCGTGGCGCGCGCCAGTAACTTCCCGATCCTACCAAAGATGGCGGAGTACGGCGAGGCCGCCGCCTCTATGTCAACGCCCCCTGGCGGCCCCTTCGAAGACCCCAGCGAGCCTATCTACACCGACCCGTCACTGTTCGAGCGGTCGCGCAGTCTGCGCAGCATCGCCGTGTCCGCGAAGCGCAGACTGGCCGCCCATCAACCCAATTGACGTCACGACCGCGAGGAAAGTGATCGTTTTAATTATACAGGATGGTTTGTTTTCATTGGATGAAACTGGAAAACATATAAAAATAGACTTTCCTCGTTATTTTCTTGTGAATGAAACTCAAATAATCATCGCTTTAGAGATAATATAAGCTGAAAAGGGTAAAATAAGTCTGTTTTCCCATCTAGTTGCATAAATAACTATTGTAGTTTAAAATATAATGTTAAAAAATAGTACCATCTGTTCACTAAAAAGCCTGTACCTATCGGGTGTTCCACTAAGAATAGTTTTCGACTGTATCTCCTAAGAAGTATTAGCCGAAGGGCCTGCAGAAAAAAATATTTATTACTAAAGAGAAATTAAATAAAAAGTCAGCAAAAAAACGCACCTCAGTATCTATTTTCAAACCGAAGATGTGATGGTAGGCTTCTAGGAACTTAAATAATGTCCAGCAGTCGCATGGCTTCTTTGGAAATATTATTACTAGCTAAAAGTTTCCGAGATACAGCCGAGAGCTATTCTTAAGGATGATTCACGGTACACCGGACCGTACCCGAGTCGGGCACGTTCCGTAAAGTAGACACCGAGCCACGTCCGGGCCTTCAATATATGCAACACCGAGTGGACAACGGGGATCATGTCCGTGCCGATTATATTCTAGAAAACAGTGTTGCCGCAGTGGTACGTTTGTACCAAATTTGATACTTTTAATTCTATTTGGTACAGTGGAGCTACATTTTCAAATCCAGGATGATTCGGTACAATAATTATTTCCCACGCGCACCGAAAATGAATAGATATTTAATAATTATCGTCGTTGATATTGCATTAAACGCGCTTACCGATACCATTCGGAGACAATCCGCATTAATTAACGACGTATTATAAACGTTGTAATGTCTATAGGGTTGCCTATATTAAATAACCCGAAGAAAAAACTTAAAAATTTGCTGTTTCTAACATGCTTCTATATTTGCGTTTTTTTTTAATAAAATTTAAGTTTTCCAAGTATCGTGTGTAGTATTAGAATTACTTACATTTCTTCAACCTATACATACTTATAATTGCGTTTTCTGAATTTCAATTTCATGTTTTTCGTCTCGATTTGTGTCTTTCTCCAGGAAGTTTTTTATGTAGAAATTTATGAAGAAATTCACACATACCAAACCGGATAAAGTCATTTGCAGATGTATTTTGTTGTGCTTTTTTGAAAAAATTGTACCAAAGTGGGTGCGGCAACACTGCTAGAAAACAGTCGCTATAGGCCCGTAGACGAACGAAGTATTTAGCCGCGGCGTCTCATTTATGTTTGCCGCAACGGGGCCGGAACGTAGCGGATCCGAGGAAAAATGTACACCGACATTTCTTGGACGGGGCACGGACGCGTTCCGGCGAAGCTCGGAGCGTGTTTGGCTTAGCAAGAATGTATAAGTATAAATAACATTTGACAATGTTAGGCCCTGCCTTCACCGTCGCACGGCTCCGGCCCGTCCCGGTGTACCGTGAATCATCCTTTAGTAGGACACCCGGTACTTTTATCAAGAACAAAAATTATGTTTACAAAATACATATGTTTACAAAATTCCTGGATAGACTACACACTACATAAATGTAGTGATAGTTCTACATACTCCTTGTGGTTTGAAATACAAATTAACTAAGCTAGACAATTGAACCACCTCTTCATTAAAAATGCAAAAACTTTACAATATTGTTTTTTTTATACTTAATATAGCGTTTTAATAATACACGAAATTTCGTCAATATTGAAATTAAATCAACCTGTATATTAGGCCATACTACTATTTAAACATCAGATAAAAAATGAACGATGGACAGTAGTCTTTTTGTTATAAGTTAACTTTAAATTATTAGATTGAAATAATATTTTATATAAATATTTTTATATATTATAATATAAATAGTTAGGTTTAAAATAATTTGTCTTTTTTCGTTAGTCAGTAAAACTGACAATATGTTTAGAGTGTGTTAACTGGTAAACTTGTATATTTTCTTTATTTCATTTAATTTTATTGGTCTTTTGTTTTTATTTTACTTCGATTACAAGAAGATTCCTTATTACTTTCCCTATTCATATGAATGTTATTTTTTATACACATACGAAGCGATCAAAAATTTTTATGATCCATCATCTTGCTTTGAGCTATAGCAAATAAAAAGTATTCTTATTGAAAATGACTAACTTTTCGATGATATAGTTATTTATCACGCTTCTTACATTATAATTATCTATATACTACCACCATATATTTTTAGATCGTATTGTTATACATATAGATAGAGATATTGTCATAAGTCTATTTTTAAATAGTAGGTATCTATTAGAAGTAAAAATAAAATATTTGTAAATAAAAGCCCATTATTTATTTCTCCAATAAACAAAGCTTACAGTTCAAAACAAAGGATCTAGGAGATTTATACTGAGTGAAAAAAAAAACGGAGAGCACCTATACCGTCGTCGTTGGAAACATGGAAAATCCCATGTAAATTTTGAACTGTCCAAATATTGGCTCCCCTATTAATTATACAACTCAGTCGTAAACAGGTTAAAAAAAATAATAAAATTAAATAGTTATTTAAGAAAGACTGCCAGCGTAGATAAAAGAAACAAGTTTAGATTGGAAAGTACTCATAAGAACAATGTAAATACTATTTGGCGCTATTCTTACAACGGTTGCGACCCAAAGCTTTTGATAATTTCGGAGCAGTTCGGCTTTTGGGTTCGGCTTTTTCCAGAATTATGTCGCCAAATATTGTTTATTCAAATTTATTATTATTTCCTTTTAATTTTTTAAATAAAATACAGTGTGTACAGGACATGTATGAAATACCTATGAAACATTGGAAACCGACGTTATGCCACGATCCACAATGGTTTTTGCAGTTCACAGGTCACACAACTTTTTAAGTTTTTAATACCACTTTTTCGCAATTATCACGGGTTTGAGTAAATAAGTCAAATAGTAAAAGTGACGTAATACTAAAAGATTACGTCAATTTTTGATATTTTCGAATATGGTTTATTTGAAATTGTAACAAGTGGTTCATAACGACCATTTGAGTCGAAATACCAAGTGTATGGTATCAAATTATTCGTAAAAAAATATTTTTTCCAAATATGCTAATGAGCCACCCTCGTTCGATTTGAAAAAATTGAGATATGATTTTACAACAATACACAATCGATGTTAAATATGACACAGGGCGCTCTTATCACTGTTTAGAAATTCCGCGAGGGAATAAAAAGCTCCTCTGCACAAAAAGATGGTTAAGCATTTTTTAACTTTGTTTTTAGGCATAGACAAGGTAAAATTTTCTGGAAGGGAATTGAATATTTTTATTAGAGAGTAATCTATATTTTTTTGAAGATAGCTGAAATTATTGTCAAGAAAAATGGCGTATCCGCCAGAAATTAAAAATGTATTACTGGTTGCCTGCACAACCGCAACGTATCCGCCAGAAATTAAAAGACTTTTTCAGGCGCCATCTCTTAGTCAAGTCGAGAAGTAAGGGAATCAGACAATGGAATTGTCTGGTATGAAGAAGTGCGCTTTCCGAGAATTGGGAAATTTCGAGAAGCAGTCAATAGAGTATATAAGCCGGAGCCATCGACCACTGAGACAGTTTTTTGAAATTTGAATATACCGCGTGAAATTGAAAAATCGGACAATTTGGTGAAGGAATCTTATAAATAGTTAGTTGTTGTGTGTTATAAGTTAGTAATTGTGTATAAAGTAAGAAAAAGACGGTAAATTCGTTAAGTATTTTATCGTGAGTTTAAATTAGTGGACCCACGGAATCAGGGCAACAATTGGTGTCAAAAGTGGATTCAAGAGGATTTTAAGAAGAAATTAAGTGGATTGGACGATTTTTACACCGAATTTGGGAATTTTTATGGTTGGTACGAGACAGCAAGCGAAGAAATGGAGGAAGTAAGCAAATTATTGGGCGATTTTATGGAGAATATGAGAAGAGAAAAGGCAGAAGAACAAGAGAGGCTGCGAAAAGAAAAAGCAGAAGATCAAGAAAGACTCCGTAAAGAACGAGAAGAAGAACGAGCCCGATTGGAAAGAGAAAAAGAAGAGGAAAAACTACGACGTCAAGAAGAACAAGACCAACTACAGAAAATGCTTATGGAGAAAATAAATTCGTTAAGTATTTTATCGTGAGTTTAAATTAGTGGACCCACGGAATCCGTAACATTATATTTATCCGAAACCAGCTGTAATCTGTGTCTAGTATCATATTCATGTTCGAGCCTACGGTGTCCAAATAAATTCCAGTTTTCCAGGACAAACACCACAGCCTCCAAAATATACATGGAAACAACTGTAAGAACGTTATGTTCAACAAAAATCTCCCTGCAGCTTTCTTGCTGACTCAATCCGAAGATACTACGTAAGCATTTTTTCTGTATTCGTAATATTCCTTCCACCCCCGCAGAGTTGCCCCAAAAAATAATACCATACTTAAATCTGGAATAGATAAAAGCATAGTAAGCTGACATAGCAGCATCGATCCCCACGGACCCCGATATTACTCTCAGCGCATAGCAGAACTGAGAAGTTTTAGATGCCAGTACTTCAATATGGTGAAGCCAATCCAAACGTCTATCGATCGTTAAACCAAGAAATGAAACGCTATTTACTGAACATATTTCCTGTTGCTCGTGCTGGAGGATAAAGGGAATTGAGTATCGATTGCTAAATAACATACACTGTGTCTTGGATATATTGAGAGATAGTCCAATAGAGTGAAAATACTTCGACAAATCGGACACAGTAAGTCGGCAGATCCGAGATATAATACAAGGCGATGACGCTGGATTCGGCCTTGTCTATTGCCGCAGCCGGCGCGGCGTCATTACCCAGGGGGGTGACAGTGAAATAGGAAAATTGGAAACAGTCATTAGTGTCAATCCTGTCATTCTCCTCACGACAAGTATGGCCGCCTAGACAAGGACAGCATTGTTTTTGTCTAACTATTGTCTAACTTCACAGTTTAGAATTGACAGATTTCAGTTTCAGAGACAACTTCAGATTTGTTCTAGAACAAATTCGAAAATATTCGACGCCATTTTAATTCATTCCGTTTAGTTTCGTTTTGGAAGTTCAATTTAATATTTCGGCTGAAATTTATAAATATAAAGGTAATAAAGTATATAAAATATATATTACATGAAGAATCCTGGAGAAAATGACGTTTCTGCAGTAGTAGGTATGTCCCATGTATATGAAAAATAGGTAGTAAATAAACACTGTTTTTACATTTTTTAGATGCAAGAAAATGGTGTTATAATCTCTTTGATCGGCGATTTTTTTGAAAATGGAAACAATTTACAGCAAGGTAAGATCATTTTTAACTATGGCCAACATTAGTTATCTCCAGTATGTGCGATTTATTGTCAATAAAGCAATAAATGGGACTGATAATCTGATTATGTTATCCGACTAAAAGTCTCTTTTGCATCTTTTGATTTATAAGCCAGGTTCTTTGGGAATAATGGACGCTTTTTTAAACAGTATATTTATATTTTATACCTATTGATATTTTACATTGTTAATTTTTGTATAAAAAATTGTTTTCTGTTTTCAGGTTTTTGTATAAGGCTCCCGTTTTCATGTTCCTGTGTCCGTTTTCTGTCCTTGAAGTTTGCGAATGCGTGTGTTTATTTACAAATTACTGTAAGTCATGCTTATACCTTAACTAATTTACGTTAAAAGTGCATATAATTAACTAATTGGTATTGAAACAATACAATCCTCTATATTTTTATATTTATTTAGTCACGTTGTTCCATATTTCAAATAAATATATGGGAATAAATTATTTTTTGGTTTTATTTATGAAAAGAAAAAATACAAAATACATTTGAACTGAAAGAGGGCCCGCCATTGAATAACCGGAAACGGAAATGAAAATTAATCCATCATGTCAACCTGTCAATTGGAAAGTTAGTTCTCCAGACGACAACGAAGGCTTTCGGTGGCGTATCGTGTTTCCACGATTTAACACAGAGTTGACACTTCTTTCTAGTTAATTATTTTATGTCATTACCACAGAAAATTGTCGTGGATACTGTTTTTGATTTTTAGTTTGTTTTTTAAATATTTTTTGGGAATGTTTCACTTTAGGTCCCTAAAATTAAGAAATATCTTATAAAACGAAGTAGATATTCTGAATTTTTAGACAAAAAAAAACTTGAAGTGAGGAAAAGTAAAATTTTTGTAATATTTGCTCGAATTGATTTGTGATATAGTTTTTTAAATTCTGATTTGAGTTTTTTTTTTAATTTTTTTTATCTGCTATAAAACTTACCTATATGTTTTTAACATACACAATTACACGTCTCGTTATATCTCCGTACATTATAAAAATTATACAGATCATACTGTGAATAGTTCTGACTGACAACGAAACGCATTAGCAAGCAAGGGGGATGTCAATGTTAGTCGGGAACTATTGTGAACTAAAGACCTAGTTCAAGGAACTATTCCTCTGGAGGAACTAGAACTAAGGAACTAGTTCCTCCCAAGGAACTAGAATTCCCACCTCTATTTCCGCTACGAACCGAGGATTCAGAGTTCGAGAGCGGGTCAGGGCAAAAACTTTTTTATTTTATTTTCGTTTATATTCTGATAGTAAAGCATGAAATATTTGTTTTTTTTTTGAATCACCAGAATTATTCAATACTTTACTATCAGAATATAAACGAAAATAAAATAAAAGCCCTGACCCGGTCTCGAACTCTGACTCCTCGCTTCATAGGCGGAACCTCTACGCGCTAAGCCATGGCGATTCGGTCGGTTTATATTCAATACTAGAATTTGAAGGACTAATAAAAATATAGGATCTTCTTTCAATGCGCAGTAGGGAACGCAACGTTTATCGGCAGCCAGACGGGCCGCATGCTGTTCCAGAGAGCATAGTAAACGATATATTACAGAGCCAGCTTTCTTAAAATACTTGTTTTCCCGACGTTGCTAGCTCTCGTACTAGAAGCGGAAAGAAGACCACATGATTCTAGTACTGATCCCATTGAATTCTCTCCCTATGCCACTCCAAGCGGTTACGCCGATGTTCAGGAGTACGAGGCAGTACTCAATGCGGACAATAAGCAAATAGGCCGGATTCCGCAAAAAATCGTACGCATACCAAGCCCATTCATACTATTTTAAAGTATTTTACGTAAAAACTACGTAATGCGTCAGTACTATTCTTCAAAAATGCGTGGGCTATTTTCTAGCCTCCGTGATTGGTTGACTCAAAATTTGATCACTTTAACTAAATTACCGATTAATAAAAATACTTAAAACGTGTTAGAATTATTCTACATTCTACGAAAATATAAATTATCTTTACGGTTTCGCCTACTCAGGCACGAACATATCACTTTAAAATTCGAAATCAGTGAAAATATACCTAGGTAATAATGTGGACACGAACTGAAAAAATTAATTATTCAAAAGTTAAATTTAGTTCACGGCGGGTTTATTATGTATGTGCATAGATTTTTACTGTTCACTGTTACGTGCGTTCTTCCATGGAGCTCGGGGGGTACCGAAATTTATTTACCCCACGGTATAACAAATACAAGCGCCGTGCAGCACCGCATAAGCCACGACCATTATTTAACCGAATTATTCGAAATTGAAGAATTTACACCGAAACAGGTAAGTACAGGGTGGGTCAAATTGGACGCTTGCAAAGGGAAATACCCTTTTCAATAGGAGATATACAGGGTGTCCCAGAAATAAGTGCAAGTATTTTAACTGGTAGTATATTTCGGCCTCAGAAACACGCCTATGAGGTTTTCTGCGAAAAATTTTTTTGAAAATTTAGAATTTTTTGAAAAAAATTTGGAAATTTTTTTAGTTTTAAGTTAAAAAACATAATTTTTTGATAATATAGCCATATTATCAAGAAATGGTAATGCCATATTACCAAGAAACATGGGTAGTAGATTAAATTTACATGAAAGAAAATCCAGAAAAGATCCAGTGGTTCTGAAAATTTAAGCAAAAAAGTATTTTTTGTTTAAATTTTCAAAGTAAAATAGCTTGGTTATTTTGGACTTTGGAAAAATAGTAAAGAGAAAAAGTGTTCCTTTTGACCAGATCTACCACCTCTTAAAATACTTGCACTTATTTCTGGGACACCCTGAATAGAGGAAAAAAAGACAAAAACTAATATCGGTGTCTGGAGATCAATTTTTATCAAAAACATGTTGGTGAAAACCACACATCGATATCTGTTACAGTTTCGGAGTTACGAGTTTTTTTTCAAAAATGTACATTTTTAACAAATCGCTGTTACTTTTTTGCCGTAGGGGAATTTTGTATTTTTGTGAAAACATTTCCAAAGCACCTTTTTACGTAGAATTTAATGGTTTAAGTATAATTTTTTTTAAATTAATAATTTAAGAATTACAACAGAAAAGAGAAAATTTGATTTTTGATATAGGACACCCTGTGTATTTTTAATGAATTGAAAAGAATTTAAAATTACCCAACCCAAAAATGTAGCATAATTAATATTTTGCTCGATTCCTCTTTGAGAAATAGATTTTTTAAAAATTCGCCCACTTTGAATATACGCTGTAATAAGGGCTGTAATGCAAAAAAATTCTAGCTGTGAGCAGCAATTAAAACGAAAATAATATTTGCAATGAGATATGCAGAATTCTATAACAATTTAAACTATATTTAACAACATCAACACATTTAAACTATATCTAATAACAATAAAAATTTAATAACAAACCAAGACATGAGATTTTTCCTATACAAAACAATAATTTATGTCAAAATTTTAATTTGTTTAGACGAAAACAACTGGAACCCTATTTCATAAATTATAATTATAAATAACTTAATTTTAAATACAAAATATAATATTTAAACCTTAATATTAATATCTCATTTAATTATTATACTCTGTAATTCGATTCGGTGTACAGGGCTGCTTCTTCGTGGAACTCTGCTTTCTTTTTTTGCAACTTTTATTCATTTAGAATAAAATGAATTTAGATCTTTATAATAATCGTCTTTAACCATACTCTATTTAAGAGAATTATCAGATTATCACATTTTGTGCCATTATTTCCTAATTTTGAAGGAGAAATTCAAGAAATGTCATTGATTTAATTTAGGTTAGTTTTAGCAATCCCGCGTAAAATATTTTGTGCGATCTGACTAGTCTTCATTAGGTATTTTGCAAAGCGTCTGAAAACAGATAAGCTCTTTGTAAAATATCCTTCTATTGTTAAAAACCCCGGAGTTTTTTAATAAGCCTAGTCATTTTTCAAAATGCCGAGTTATTCCGATACGCCTGCGACAGGGTTTCCTACGATGTTCTCTGTTGGTATCTCGGAAAATACTGGAGATAGAGAGTCGGTTAAATGGGGGAAAGAGTTGCAGTTTTGTGGAGCATAAATATGCGCCTTTCAGATTTTTGAAAAAGTTTATGGTTTACTAGATTTTTTTACATCGTAAGAAACTCACCCTGTATATTTTTAACTAACTCACGTAAACTCATAAAAGTATAGATAGATACAAAAACATTTTATTTTCTATTAAATTATGTAATTTCTGTAGCCATTAAAGGAAAATGGGGTCTTTCACTATATTTTCGAATTAGCATAATTGAATAAAGCAATTAATTCTAGAATTTTCTGCTATCTCACTTTCGAAAAATTTGAAGTCGTTCTTAAGAAAATAAATAAAAACAAAAAAGCCCAGAATAAAAATCCGCACTTTATTTTTAATACGTCACACCTGGCATGTTGAAAAGCGGCAACACGGGCGATATGGACGGGCGACCACAAGCCACAAAGCGCCACCATGCCGCCCAGCCCACCACCACCTCCACACAAGGCTATTCAACCTTTTCCAATATGGTGGAGTTAGAAGTGCTTTATTTGGCACGTATTTTAAAACCTGTTTTATTTCCAAATAGACATTTTTCACACAAATGTCGGGTTAGATTACGTAATATTTCACTAATTTTTTAATATACAGGGAGTCTAAAGCTCTCCACATAAGTATGGAATTTTTTGTATTATTATTTTTATGAAAACATCAGTTAGTTACTTTTTATAAAAAGGTCTGCTTTCTCAGAAAATAGGTAGGTAGTGTACTAGTGTGTAAATATTCAAACTTGAGGTAGCATATATACGGTGTTCAAAATCATCGGAAAAATAAATAACCAGAAATATATGACAGAAAATAGCAATATAGACTAAATATTCAATTGCAAACACTTATCTACCATAGTTTAGAATTTACTGTACGTTTGATAAATATATACTATTATGGACAGTATAGGAAGTTACTTGTCTTAGTAAAAGCCTTGGTAAATGCTCTTGGAATTGTAAACTACACTGGCTTGGGTCAAAAAATATGGAATATTTTTCCTATGTTTTGCAGCATTACACAAATGGGAATAAATTTAAACTATAATAGGTGAGGATAACTAAAAAATATAATATGTGTTTCAAGATTTTATATAGAAAAAAACTAGATAAATACCTTTTTATAACCTTTTTATAACGACTTTTTTTGCATAGTTCTTCAATAAAATATTGGATATTCTGAACAAGATGGATTTAATAATAAATTCTGACGTATGTGAGGGGCAATTGTGACTTAAAAAAAGACTTACATCAAGGCAGGCCATTTATATTTTCAAATGTGAATGTTGTCAATATCTTTCTGTGATCTTTTTGATGTAAAAGCTTGATTATTCTTCCAATATTTTACTTATAGTGAGGTAAGTGTAAGCAGTAGCCATAACTACATCCTCACTAGGGTAACAGAGGCTTTGGCCTTTGGCCTTTTTGAGGCATATTTAATGCACTTCTTACCCGAGAACAACTAGTAGGAGTGAAATTATCTTTTTTAATAGTTGTCAACTATTTTTTACGAAGCTCGTCATTTTTGGGGAATATAAAAGCAGAAACCTTGGGACCCCCTCTATAATTCTCGTGACAATTTGGAACAGAGCATGTAAAAGGTATGCTACAATAAAATGTTAATACCTATCTTTTGATTATTGTAAGTAACTATTATAAAGTACTATGCAGACTGGCGGTGAAGGCATTTTACTCATTTAGGTGTAATATCTTCATAAATACTTCTAGTTCTTACCTTAAAATAATTAATAATAGAGGAGTACGACAAGCACAAAAGTTTGAAGTTCCCTATGTGGAATCAATCTGGTTTGGATTTTTATTACTGTTATTTATCACAATTTTCTGATCACACCATGCACTGAACACTAAGAACTAAACAAACGTGTTGCAGAAGCACAACAAACTAGAGATAATTAATTATTTCTGGTATGCAATCGGACCGAGAAACCACTACCGGCTTTTCAGGTTAAAGGTAAACAATTTAATAATGCGCTGCCTTCGTCGCCATATTTGCCTTGCCCATATCATGTTGATTGGCCTTGAGTTGAGGTGGTGCTGGTCAAATCAAATCGCAATGTTACCAGTTGTTGGCTGGCGCACGAGCACGGTTCTGCAATGTGATTGGGCGTATTTTTCATACGTCATCAATTGGCGCTTTAAAATTATTTCAAATTAAAGCAATTTTGAGGGCCTATAAAAAAGTTATTCAATGTCATGGAACTATTTTTTTGGATAAATATACTGAAAATAGTCTTCTATTTCAGATTTTATCCTTGAATTGGGTATATAATTTTTTGTGAAAGAGCCCATTATTTAGTGTAGCCGTTAAGGGTTAATGGTGAGTTTTGGTGTAGTTAGTCTTTTCAGCAATGTTCCGGTGGGAAAATAAAAAGATTATAAAAAAGGAAAAAGCACGCTCTAAGTTTCAAACTAATTTTTATTGATTCAAAATTTAATTTGGCATTAGTTTCGAAGTCTTTGATGACGTCAACGCCAACTTTTATTGCCTTCTCTATACTTTAAAATCGGCTAGCACAACAAAAGTTTAAAAATAAATAATAATATCTATATATATAAATCTGACTGTCCTGACTGATACTGACTCATCAACGCCCAGACCAAACCCTTGACCCTAGAAAGCTGAAATTTTGCACAGGGGTTCGTTTTATGTTGTTTACGTGAGATAAGAAAGGATTTTTTAAAATTCATCCCCTAAGGGGGTAAAAAGGGGGGTGGAATATTACAATATTTTTTATTTAAAAAACGGTCAAGTTTCCGAAAAAACGCTTAAACACGTATATTTTATTTTCTTTTTTTACATATTCTAAGATTTTTTAAAAATGTATACAGGGTGTTTCGATGATTAATCACGGTCAATGATTAATCACGATCCTGCATAAAGCGCTTGACTTAAAAAGCTGATTTTTGGAAAACGGATTGACTTTAGGGTGTAGAGGTTCGATAAGAAAGGATTTTTCGAAACTCGAATTCTAAGGGGGTGAAACCACCCCTTAAATATTAGAATATTTTTATTTAAAAACCGGTGAGTTTTTCCGAAAAACTCTTAAACACGTTTATTTTATTTTGTTGTTTTACATATTTTAAGATTTTTTAAAAATGTATACAGGTATACAATGTGTTTCATAAAATATGGTCATTGAGTAATCACGATTCTGCTTAAACTGCTTGACGTTTAAAGCTGATTTTTGGCAAACGGATTGACTGTGGGGTGTAGAGGTTCGATAAGAAGGGGTTTCTCGA